TTTATAGGTATATAGATTACAGCTGGAATTACACAATATGTCGAATACATTGTAAGTCAACACTTACCTGGTTTATAGGTATATAGATTACAGCTGGAATTACACAATATGTCGAATTCGTGTAAAAGAACAACACTTTCCTGGTGGGTTATAGGGATGTGTGTGTGTGGTACTGTGTATTTACACTTTTAGCACGAAACATAAACTTACCTGTATACCAGACGCATTATTTCTCAAATAATGGGTATGGTCAAGTGGTTAGGGCGGTCGACACGCAACCTATTGGTTTGAAATCCAACACCGAACATGACTGCCACTTCAAGCGTGGGGACGTTATAATGTAGCGGTAAATTCGTTGGTAAAGAGTAAACCAAGATTTAGCGATGGCTTGTATTAACTAGTCTATCCTTCAAAATTAGAGACAGATAGCGCAGATATCTCTCGAGTAGCTTTGCGCGAAATTCGACAAACCAAAACCATCAAATATTATTGCCTAGCGTGATTTAGGCAAAACATAAGCGAGTAAGAATTTCTATCCCAAAACTGGTCACTTGTAGATCGAATTATTTCAGTAAAGCAGAAAATGATGTTGAAAACATGTAACATAATAATAAAGTTATTGTCTCTTTTTTTGTACTTTACAATAAAACCAGAAAACAAGCTATGAGATGATTTTATTAATGTACACTTAATCTATCAGGCCTATTATGTGGTTTATAATCTACAGCAATATGTGTACACTTGATCTATCAGGCCTCTCATGTAGTTTATAATCTACAGCAATTTATGTACACTTAATCTATCAGGCCTATTATGTGGTTTATAATCTACAACAATATGTGTACACTTGATCTATCAGGCCTATCATGTGGTTTATAATCTACAGCAATATGTGTACACCTGATCTATCAGGCCTATCATGTGGTTTATAATCTACAGCAATATGTGTACACTTGATCTATCAGGCCTATCATGTGGTTTATAATCTACAGCAATATGTGTACACCTGATCTATCAGGCCTGTCATGTGGTTTATAATCTACAGCAATATGTGTGTACACCTGATCTATCAGGCTTATCATGTGGTTTATAATCTGCAACAATATGTGTACACTTAATCTATCAGACCTATTATGTGGTTTATAATCTACAGCAATATGTGTACACCTGATCTAGTAGACCGGGGTTTCCCAAATCTATTTGAGTTGTCGACCCCTTAACGAACTTATAAAGTTGTCATCGAGCCCAAATTCTTAGAAAATAAATTATAAGGGAAACTTCACAGTCAAGAAACTTCATTATATAACCAACTTATATTCATCACAATACAATCGTTAGGAAACATAAGATGTAAAAAAAAATGAGTTTTTAATTTTCTCTAATGAGACGAATGAGCCTGGCGGGCTTTAAAAAGCGTATGAATAGGGGCCATTTCGATCCCTATCAGCCCCTAAGTCTTTATTCACCCCTTGTACAGTCTCATCGTCCATGCTGGGAAACCCTGTAGTAGACCTATACTGTGGTTTATACTCTACAGCAATATGCATAAACTTGATGTATCAAGCTTTTATTGTTATTTATACTTTATAGCAATATGTTTGTACCTCATCTATTTGGCTTATACTTCCCAGCAAGGTGTGTGCACGTGATCTACCCGGGATCTATGCTCTGCAGCAATATGCGTACACGTGACCTATCCAGCCATTACTGAGGTTTATACTACCCAGTAAGATGTATGTGTTTTTTTAGACTTATTCTATTTTTGGATCACCGAGTTAAGATTGTGGCGATTGGATATCAATCGTTGTCATGGTTAATAGCCTATACGATCACCAAAGTCTAAGTTTTAATTAAGTATTATTTTACTAGATACTTATTACTAATAACTTACTAATATTATTAATATTACTTAGCCTACGTTCCGGCTGCTAGTAAGCTGTTGTCTTCAGTGAATTCTTGAGAAGGACTGTACCTGTGATGGTGAAGATGGTGGTCTGGATTCAGCTCTAAGTCTTACTAGAAAGACTGGTTTGTTTCCACCCTGGATGTAAAAAAAAGAAGAATTAATTAATAATTAGTCTTAGGTAATATTATAGCCTACTAGTCATGGCAACGAGTTGATTGATTATTTGTTTTACTTGTAGGTCTTGTTGTATTAAAAATGTCAATACAAAGAATATCTCCAACCAGAATTCTTAAATTTCCAAAAGTACAAGATGGTTGATCAAGAAACCAAACTAAACAGGTTTTAACACGTAAAATAAGAGGATGAAGATTAGTGTCTACAATTATAATTATTGCACATTCTGTTTACAATTATAATTATCACAGTCCTTTTTACCTGTTGTACACAGATTTCATAAATGTTAGATAAATTTGATTACAGTTTAGGTAAACTTGTCGAAACGTTTGCAAACTTCTTAACTTGTCACTCTCTCGGTCATTCTTCCAACTTTCTCAACTACTTAGCCTAAATACTGAATTTTATTGAAAAGTATATAATAGTAATAAAGATGACTAAAATTATGGGAAACCTTATTTTCAACGTTATTGCAACATAATGCGAAACCTAAACCTTCTTTGGCATACATCTTTATAAAATATAATATTTATTAAATTAAATAAATATTGGAACTATTGAAAACATGAAAATTCTCAATATTTTTTTTACTTAATTGTTATACTCTTTTGTTGCCGTTCGATAAAGACGCCGCGCCACCTGGTTGATAACTTTTCAGCTCACTCTGCGGTTATCGATGCTAGATATTTTTCACTGAGAACCAGCTCGCTTGAAGCTTTAGTTAACTGCACTGGCTTTAAGCCACCCACACACCGGCACGTGGACGAACTTTGTATCTTTTATGAAACCATGTATACATGTGTGATACAACAGGCTTAGCTTCCATGAATTAATTAGTGAACTTTCTTTTTTGTCTCCATTAATAATTCACCTCCCTAGAACAAGCTGCTCCTTGTAGTGGAAACTCCATTCAACCGATTGAAGTCTGCATTTTATTTCTTTGTGTTTTGTTTCCTGTTGATTTCTTCGTGTAATCTGCCCCCCCCCTACCCAATTGTTTTTTTTACAGATTTCGATATCCAGTGAGTGATACACATTTTTATCATTGTCGATTTACCCACAATTCCGTCTAGCAGTCGAACAACAGACTTCAAAAGGTTCAGTATGTAGAGCATACATTCACTACAGTATGTGAATATATATAGTTATATATATATAAGAATTAGATCGATACAGAAATTCCAAAGATCCTTAAGCTTTCTCGCAGTTTCCTTTGGAATTTTCCATTTGTAAAAAAAAAGGACTCTTAACATCTTAAGAGTCTCCGTTCAAGACACGTTATTCTGTTTCGAGCACTCTTCACCGCTACTTGCTATTGGATACTAAGCTTAGCTGAGGCGCTGAGACGGGTATATAACAGGTGGCAGAAGGTATACAGCTCAATATTATTCAGCAATGTCAGACAGTCAGTCGGATGATCACCAACTGAGTCAAACAGAAATGAATATCTTAAAGGAGAATACAGTAAGGGGAGCGTCAGACAATGAAAGTAAGTCAGCTAATACACATTTATTATTCACACTATTGTTTTCTGTGCGATTAAAATTTTATTTATATTCGTATAAAATGTGTTCTCATAGATGATGCGCAAGTTTTCAATAAAGCTCATGAGCCTTTTTTTAACTTTCAGAGTATTTATAGTTTATCTTTCTTACAGTAATACAGTTTGGATATCCAAACTTTTTTCTTGTGACCGCTTCAGTCAAACTGACCAGGATTTGTTTATTCTGAGGATTAGATAGAGTTATTCTTTTTTAAGTGACAATCGACAACATTTTGATTCCAATTAATAGCAGTTTACATTTTCAATTTTGTGTATTGTCTTTTGGTTAAAAGTATTCCATCCCTTTCACCAAATCTATCAATCCTTCGTCGGGAAGGTGTTCAGTAACAAACACATACACACCACATACACTAATTATGGATGAGAAGGCAGCTCTTCCCTTTTCGTTTGTTTGTATAGTGTCATAAAATTACAATCATATCGACATTTATTTTGGGGGGAGGGCGAAAGAGATACTGCCCCTATATTAGAGATGGAGAGTCCTGCTCCCCCTCTCCCTTCTACTTATGGATAACGTGTAAAAGCTTGTGTTTTCTTCCGTTAGAAACCAGATCCTGATGAATAAGGCAGTCACACGTTTTTAAGTTCGTCATGGATGTTTATGCTAAAAACCTATAACACATCCAAGATGCCGTTGATTTTACTTTGGAAACAATTTAAATCGTAATTAATCTATGATTTAATTTGTTGATAAAATATTATTTGTTATATCTTTAATAATAATAAAATAAATATTTCTAAATTAAAATAAAACATTAACCATACTCAAGAAAAACTCAGTTTGAGGTCAAACTGCACTTCTCAGCTGAACACTAACATTTTACATGACCTTATAAATGATCTTGACCTTTAATATTAATCCTACTTTGACCTCCAAACACATATTGAATTAATAGGAAAACTACTTATTATTGTAGAAACTGACGCGCGACTTTCTGATACAGAAAATCAAAAGCTTCTGAATTTATAAGTTCAATTACAAAACTGACAAAATATGTCTAACTTGATTGATATAACAGCGTCTGTAACCGTTTGAGGGTTAGCAGTGGATTCCATCAAATTCTTCGTAGTATTCTAACATTACTAACCGTTTCTTGAGTTTTTTCTGGGATTGGCAGCATTAAATATTTCTGTCGCTCCATTTTTCTTGTACACCTACACATAAAAACAAAAGAAAAAAAACATTTGACATGGTTCATAAGTCATGATTGCTTAAGGCAAGGTCTTGCTCGAAAGAAACAAGAGGAACGAATTAATAATATAATTTATGTATCTAGTGTTCATGGACACACTGTACGCATACATTAACGTATATCACAAGTTGCTCTGAAACGATCCGTCGAAGATGGAGGTTTATAGCACGTGTCGTTACATAATCTTTGCATTAGGCCTGTGATAACTGGTTGAAATTGTTATTGAAAACACGAAGGCTAACTTTTCTACAGTGTTTTAAAACTTCCTACTAAAGATATTCTTTCTTCGGTTTCTGAACAGCTGGTTCATGTGAAGGTTGAAAGTGAAGAACTGGAATAGATAACAGTAATTGGTCACAGAAGGAAAATTTATACGAAATTTGTTACTATTTTCTTCCTTTCCTCGTCTAAAGACGCCTAAAAGACTAGACTTGGTACTTGATGGAATGTTCTACGCTTCCGCTAAAATTTGCATATAAAAATATTATATACATCTATAACACTAAAGATATATTCAAAAAAGCTAAACTACCCTATTATCTAACTTGTATAAATGCCAGTGTGTGTCACGTCACGTTTTCTTTCTCGAGTCATAAAAGGCAAAATGCATTTATCCAGATAGAATAGTTCAATTACTGTCTGCCTATATTAAGATTTTAGTATGGGGGTGCAATGGTGCCGTGAGGGGAGGGGTGCCGTAAAACCTTATAAGTATAGTGAGTGTTGGTATAATAAGCCTGAAGTAAAGATGTAGTGTGGGATCACCTAGTCTAGAGTCAAGAGCATAAAATTTATCATGAAAGTAAAAATATCGATTCAATTTTTAACTTAAATCTTTCTGAATTAAGCTATTTTCTGTTATATCACCAACATTTTAAATAAAAACAAACCTATTTAATCAACCGATACTCTAAATTAAGAAATCAACAAATATATTTCCAATTTTGTTGTCTATACATTTCATTTTATACTTTCAGTACATAGTTGCCAAGCCACGTGACATAAAAGCCATCGCTGGAATGTAGTGTTATCAAAACGCACTGGCTTTTCTATATATTAAAAGTTGTTAATCTAACTGATTTTTACTAATACTTATTCTATGAATACGCCACGAATTCATTCCATGAATGATCTTAATT